TGCTCTGTGAACTTGCAATGGTAAAATAATTCGGCGTACCTATTTTTACGAATATCTTTTAAATGGTATACGCAAACCTATGCCATGCGCGGAAACGTGTGAAAATAACTGCAAACAAACGAGAGTAAACAAAGGTTAGTCGTATATTGATAGGGATAATTTGGTTTTATTAAATTCCATATAGCATTAATTATATCATAAAACTCTGTACGTATTTGAAAATAAACACCTAAATAGTCTATAACCAGAGCTGGCGAAAAATCAGATGCGAAAGTGCGACCAAACCAGGCTCTGAACTCATATTACAATATATATAAGAAAACCGGGCAACTTCGCAAGTGGATGGGCCACTATTGTTGTAGAGAAATCGAGAATGTATCAAGGGTGAAATTTAATGTACATACGAATATTAAAGCAGCGATAAACCATCGCTAACGAAAAAACGATTCTGAGTTGTGTTCAGTTGATATAGTGTTGCTGTGTTACTTTGTCAACAATCTATATACAAATATAAAATAATAAAGTAAAAACAAAATTATTAATATGGTTAATACTCGTAAATAACTAAAGTAAATAAATATAGTTAATAAATATATAAATAAAAAAATTGTGTATAGTAATAAAATAAATTAATGAATCACTCCGTCACCTGATTATGATAAGTGTATTATACAATCGGTTTCGAATTAAAAATTCATCATCAGGTATATTACAGTCAAAATGTAAAACGCGACTGAATATTAAAAAATTAAATGAAGGAATACATAGAAATAAAAATTAATATACAAATTGGTCGTTTTACATAGAATATAAAAATAATTTATTTTAATAGGAGAGATTATTTAAAATTAGTGACTATTAGGCATAGATATGTTAAGAAATATAAATTNATTGTGTGTGTGTAATTCTTCTAAAACTGAATTAATGTATATGTTAATTTGTGTATTTAATATTTCTTAAGTCTATATTATAAAAAAATAAATCAATTTAAACTTCGCTAAACATGTTTTAGAAAATAACCATAATATAAATTTTGTTATCAATACAGACTTAAGAAATATTAAATACACAAATTAACATATACATTAATTCAGTTTTAGAAGAATTACATATACACAATGAAACAAAGAAAAATAATTTTAATAATATTTTAAATGTTCAAACCGATTTTAAAAATAATATCTTATATCAATACATTTTAGACAAAAAATAATAACCAAATAATTTATATTTCTTAACATATCTATGCCTAATAGTCACTAATTTTAAATAATCTTTCCTATTAAAATAAATTATTTCTATATTCTATGTAAAACGACCAATTTGTTTATTTTATTTTTTCTATGTATTTCTTCATTTAATATGTTTAACTACTTACCGAACTCTTGGTTAAATGCCGATAAGTAATATTATAAAATATGTATAGGTAAACGGTAAAAGTCTTTAAAATCGAAACGAAAAAACGTTATTGAAAAAAAAAAAAAAATCATTTAAACGAAAACGACGTTATCAATTGAAAGTCGAAATCCATAGACGATAAACGTCGACTGAATTACGTTCCATGAACCGTTTTAAAGCGTTTAACATTTTTAACGTGACGTGGGGCCGGTAAAAATTCCGTAAAACGGTGAATGTGCCGTAAGAGAGCTGAAATGTGTTATTTACAACGAAAACGGGACGAGAAACGTCTAAATAAACGTCGGGAATAAATAAAAACTTGTTGGGAAATTGAAGAAATGGTGAACTTAAACGTTTTTATTATTATAGATTTTATTGAAAAACCGATAATAGTAACTCGCTCTTACGGAGTTTGGCAATAATTCAATAATAATTAATAATAATTATTATTAATCGTACACTCCCTTAATAATTAACTATAATTCACTATTAATAAAATTACTGACAACATAGCATCCGGCCATTTGAGATAAAGCTTAAATTGATATTATTAAAAAAATAAAAATAAATCGTAACAATACCAGAAGAAATATTTCAACGATAATGGTTTTAAAAAACCATGGATTTAAATGGCTTAAATGGTTCTAAATGGTTTTAAATTAGTCAATTTTTGCGTTCTGTTTCGTTCAATGGAATGATTAATTTTTTTTTCATTATTGTTGTTTTGTTTTGTAATAATTTTAATTTTATGTTTTTCGTTTATTGTTTTCCGTTTCGTTACGTTTCCAGATTTGAATAGTTGTTCGTTCCTACCCAGTTTCTTGAACGTAAACAGTCATTACCTACTGATGAATCTAAGCGAAGTTCCGTTAAACAAGTTTTCAAATTACATTATTTTTAATATTTCCGTTCAAATTTGAACGTAAAGTGCTTATAAAAAAAACTACAACTTAAAGCCTTTTTTTTTTTTTTAACCATAAGTACAATTTGTAAAAAACCTTATATTAAATTTTCAAACATTTATGTTCAGCCAAACAATTTGTCCACGTGTAAAACCAAATAAAACATGTTAAACAACTAAACAATGTCCAAAAATAGCCCAAAAATCGCCAGAATGTTTTAAAAATTGTACCACATTTAAAAATGGCTTAAACAAGTATTTCGATTTATTTTATAAGAATAAGAACAAAAAGAAAGAGCTGATACTGGGGACGGGTGCAGCCACTATTATAGGAGGAAAGTTGTGAAAGTAGGATACATAAAGTTATTTAATTTATATCTGTACACAACGATCCACCATTGCTAACGAAAAACGATTCGGAGAGACGAAGTCGGTAAGACATATTTTGAGTTTTTGATAATTTTTACGAAATTTGGATAATGATTTCTGATAAAAAAAATATAATTTTAAAAGTTTTACAGGTTTTACAAGTTTTACGGCGTAGTTTGAAAAAAAAAATAAATATATTTTCTGTATTTTTTTGGGTTTTCCGTATAATTATGAAAACCACTTTAGACATACAAAATATGATTTTCTCTATCAGTGGCCATATATTAAATGGAACAAGATATCGATCTCTTATAATATTTCGATTAGATTTGTCCATATTCCGAATTAAAAAAAAAACACATATCATAGTAAAACCAATAGACTTTATATTTCGCAACGCTCCGAATCAAAAATCAAAAATTATGAAACCATTATTACTGCACACTTCCCCGTGTTTTTTTTTTTTTAAACTCTAAAATCACTCTTGTTACAAATAACTGATAGTCAGAATCCCCTCCTTGGAATAAATAATCTATACCTAAACATATACCTTTGGGCCTTTAGTCCGTTTAAGACTTACAAACCAGATTCGAGGAGATCTGGGAGCCCGTAGCCACTCCCTCGGGATGCATTAAGATGTTTACTCGCTTCCCCTGTCTCAAAGGTCTATACTCTATAATAGGTACCTGCAACTACCTATGACTGAATTAAATTATTTGATTGTTTCTTCTGCTGTCGTGAAGATCTAATACTACCTACATCTTTAAAAATTCGTTTCTTCCCCGTTATTAGCAGACAATTCGTCCGCACACTATTGCCCGTCAAACATCCGGTTCCGGTAATAAGACGTTTGGTTTCTCTGAGTTATTTTAAACTATCTTTAAATTCAAACAATATAATGGTTATGCTTATATTCAATATAAGTTCACTTCCGATACAGGTTCGATATATAGACGAGCTTTCTGCAGTAATTTTACATTTATCATCTCGAAAAGTAAAGACTTCCGACTTCTCGATGTGCATCAATAAAGGAAAATTCGAACTCGACTTAAATTCTAAACGACGTGTATAACTAGAATGATTGTTTCAGAAAACTTATTATCTATTTATCTATCCATCTATGTTCTATATATATTATTTATTTAAATGTGAAAATGGACATCTTTGCCACGCATGTTCTCTGAAACGACTTGACCAATTTTTAAACGGTCCTTCGGAAAGCGATCCGCATTGTTCGGAGAATGTTTTAAACTATTGATATCCTCGATCTGACCAGTAGAAGTAGTAGACCTAACCTAACGCGGATTAGAACACCGTCGAACAACAAAATAAGAGGCTAAAGAGCTAAAAAGTATTTAACCGGAGAGACTTACTGCGAGTTCTGGGTTGAAATGGGGAGGAAAACGATGATTATCATTTTTTTTTTATTTGCCTTTAGTAACCTAACCTAACACAAAGATAAGCATTTATTGGATGGGCAAAGCTGGACGGGACATCAAGTATATTATAAATCGTGACTACGGGTCCCTATACGATATTTGGTTTCCGTTCGCTAATAAATGGGGGGGGGCGGGGTATTGGAAACGTCGGAGACGAAACGTCCGGAAACTCATTTTACGGACGAACCGTTCCGGATTCCTGTAACTATACCGTGTCCGACAAAAACCCGTAACGCTTGCGCGTCCCCCGGGGACGGGGCACGCTTCCTACATGGCAACGACAACGCGGCGCGTAGTCGTTTCCCGTAACATAATACGGCGGGAGATAGTACACTAAACCGGTTGTGCGCGTCCCAAAACACGAGGCCTCGACGAAAACGATGGACAATGTCGACAACGGACGACTACCCCCTGTTCGGCGCGCGGGTTCGGCCGCCGCCGACTTTCCGACACCGGCCGGCGGGCGTGGGCGTGTGACGGATGGAGGGTTTTCTGGGGAGTCCGGACCCTTTGTGCCCTCCACCGAGTGCACCTGCCACCACCAAGCCAGGCACTGCGTGTTCGTGCGCGCGCTCCCCCGTACGTTTGTGTGCGTGTGCGTGCGCGGGCGCGGGAGCGTGTGCGTGTGTGTCTGTGTGTGTGTGTGTGTGTGTGTGCGCGCGTCAGGCGCCAAGTCTCCTCCGTCGTCGTCGTCGACCAGAACAGTGAACGCGACGGGACGGTACGCGGGGAGGGGGTGCGGTGGGCGGGGGAGGGGGCCGTATAGCCGCATGCTGTGAGTGACGTCATGCCCGTTGTACCCTAGAGGGGGTTGCCGGCGGCCGCGGCGACGGCGGCGGCGGCGGCGACGCACGTACGGGCTCGGTGGTGAATTTCAGTAACGTTCCCGACGTGCGCGAAACGTGTCACGTCGCCTCCGCTGTGGTTTCATCTACCAGCTACAACACGTCACGCTCGCCCGCCGTTTTCGCCAGCAACAATAATATTGTTATCGTCGGTTCGCGTTTGTCCGTTTCGATTGCAGTTTTACAATAACCCGCGATAATAATAAATCATAATATTGTTATCGTCGTACCGGCCGGGCATAGCCGTACAGCCGTTCAACGTCCCGGGGAAACGCCAAAGGAGGTACAGTATTGTTATTTTGTCGATTAGGTCAGGACCCACCTGCCTATTAATTACATGATCATAACGTAGTATTGAATTATTGTTATTGCAATAAAGTGTATACGCGGGCGTTGCGACCACAGTTATTCGCGTTATTCACCGCCGGCACCGCGTTCATAAACGGAACATTAATCGAACATAATGATATTACACGCGCGTTTCGATAGTATTCGTTCTGGAACAGGCGCGTAAACGTCGCGAAACTGTCGCCGTTCCGTTAGCGGGCACTCGACGATCGCCGCGCATTTTCACCGGTTCGCGCGGTAAGCGGCGGGCGGCCGCTACAACAGGTGAACCGGGCGGCGGCGGCGGCGGCATCAGCACGTGTAGCGGCGAGCGCCGTCCGTTCGTTATCTCTAAACCGCGGCCGCGGTGCAGTTGTCGAACAATTTTGTTATTATTGTTATTATTATTATTATTATTATTATTGTCCAGCTCGAACGGCACGCACGACGACACCGCTGGACGGTGACGTCACCGAAGCGGCGGTTGTCCTAGACAACGCCGAGAGCGGACCGGTCCCCCCCGAAACTGGTTTTTATTTGACTTTATTTCGTTTTTTGTTTTTTGTTTTTTTTTTTTTATTTTTGTTTTGCGCCACCGTCCGAGGCGATTGGGGACCCGAACCAGACTATTACTATTATTATTGATGTTGTTTTAATTTCTCGCGCGTATGAACATTAACAGCGAGGCGGTTGTTTCTGTTTTTTCCGCGCGGGTCGCCGTACGAAGGCCGTTCGGCTGTTACATCACGCCGCGTATACTTACGCGTATTTTATACCCGTTTTCGATTCGATTCGACGGTAATATTGGCGCGCGCCACCTCATCTGTGCCGCCCGTCACGTATTATTAAATATTATTGTTTTTTTTTTTTTTTTTTTGTCGGTCTTCGAACGCACTTAGCCAAACGACACGCCATTATCACCGCGAGCGCGCGACATGAATTATACGACTGTACAGCGCCGCCGCCGCCGTCACCGTTGTCCTTATTATATTATCGCGCGTGCCCCCTCTCCCCCGCCCACCAGCCCGCGACTCGACGATATTGCGGCGCGCGAGTGGACGAGGTCGAGGACAGGCGGCGGCGGCGGCCACGCGTCCTGTCCGTCCGCGCCCTTCGCCTCCCCCGCCATCCGTTCGCGGCTGCGACGATGACGACGGTTTTCCGTGGAAATTAGGCCGCGCGAGTTTTCCGGCGGAAACGCTCGCCCCGCCGCGGTCCCCGCGCAATTTAGGCGCTATCGGCGAGGGTCCACGGTGTCGGAACGACAACGTTTCGTCTCGCCGAAATGCCGGGGTTCACGCGTCAATAATCGTAATAATAATAGGTCTATGGGCGAAGCGCGTTTGGACGACCTGGATTTAATGAACCCGTTCGGACCAATGCTTTTAAATTTCTATAAACGTTCAGTTACACTACGGAAACTAATTTTTAAATTAAGCAATGAGTAAATTATTTAGGTTCACGTACAATTTCTGTGTATCAATTTAATTCTGAAACATACCGAAAACCCCCGGGTATATTAAATATATACCTACACCCATTATCTTTGTACAATAGATGTCTGTGTGTCATGATCTTGTACGATAAGGCAACACAGATAAAATACTACTATATAAACGCTCGCTAAATAAACGTTCAGTTAAACTAACACGGGGAAAATTCTGGTCCAAACGGGCTGTATAAAAGTAGTATTTTCTAGCCCACACGGGTCTTGCCCAGGCCTATGCTCGAATTCGACTTTCCCGCGTTTAAAACAACAATCGTTTATGATTGCTGTTTTAAACTAATTTTGAAAATAAAAAAAAAAAAAACACAAATCAAACAAATATTGTAATCGTAAAGCGTGTACGCGGTTAACTTTCGACGATAATTTCGGATCCGAAAACAAACCGTCGTTTAGACCGTTCGTCCCGAACGTGACGTGTTTTCCTATATGAATTTCAATTAAACCCGGCAAACCATCGGCCGGTAATGTATAGGTGACGGACTGGCGTCGTCGTCGTCGTCATTTACGTTTCAGCGCGAATGATCGATCACTTTGGCGGTTTAACGTTTACACCGTTTTTACTTTTCATTCGGATTGGACGATTCGTCCGGAATTATTATTATCATCAAAAGCGAACCTGTTTTCGGACAGGCTATATAATTAGCGTCAACCGTTTGTTGGGAAATTCGATCTCGAGTGTGGGACTCGACGGGGAGTTCAAATCTATTTTCAGTATTCTTATCGATCCGCTGTATCGGAAATGAAAACGCGTTCCAATTCTTATGATAATTACGGTGTGCGTGTGTTGGACGACTGCGCGAATCGTCGCCTATTTCAATACGATACGTTTAGGGGATCGGTGACGATCCTTTTCAAAATATGTTCTCAAATTCTGTATCATTCGACAATATTGTTTTGTATGTTTTAATGATTAGGCTTTTCCACCGATCTATAAATCCCATTTATTGCGGAAGCGGTGTGGCCGAGAACGGTTTTTTTTTTTTTTTTGTATAAAACAACTTCTTTAAATATATTTAAATTTTTTACGGAGTTTACTTGAAATGAATTTTCTTAGTTGGAGTGTTTAAAGTCCGATTTCACAAAAGTGGTAAAGTCGTTTTCAAGCAGACGTCGTGACGGGTTCAAACATATTTTCAGATGTTTTATCTGATTACTAGGACAGTAGTCAGTACATTTGACACAATATAACAGGTGTCTATTCCGATTTTAAACACAGCCGGCGATCGAATCTTCTTAATACGCATTAAACTCTTCTCGCGCGTTCGTATTGCAACGTTCTGACACTGAATACCGTATTTTCTACCACGATTTTGGTAAAACTAGTTAAATTATGTAAGATTATATCGGTTTGCGTTCAGTAAGATAATTATTAAGAAGGTCGGTATAAGAGTCCGGTCCGCATAACACAAATCGTACGTAAGTCTCGCCTTCAAGTCTAGGTGCCTGCGAACGGCTGTTTAATAAGGTCCGTACTTCAGAATATTGGAATATAATTTTACGAAATTTCAAAAACGAATCATCGATTTTAACATATTTTTAATTAAAAAAAAAAAAAAAAAAAAAGTCGAAAATCGATTTCCACAATAACACAGAAACGGTGTCGATGTACCCGAAACTTTTTTTCCAGAATGAAAAATTTAAACAATCCGAGTACGTGCATTTTTCCTGGGCTTATCGGTCCGAACGCATGGAAAATACGTCAGGCCCTTTAAAGGCACAAAATCGGCGCCGTTGAACGTGCGTACATTTTCCATGCGGCGCGTTTGTAACACGGAGACCGGGGTGTACCGCATCCTCTTAATACGCAGTAAAAACCGGGTTTACGCCTTATATCCGGTTTCGCTTAAAGCGCATTAAGCTAATACAGTCGCATTAACTGCGAATGCCGCGTATCAGCTTTGGTACACGTGATTGTCGCCGCCGGGGCAGACCTTGTCCGCCTTTTCCAGAGTTGCTACTGTTGCTGCACAGCACTCCGTCCGAACGCCATGTCGATAATAATAATATTATCGCCGGCCCCACGGTAAAAATAAAATTAGGCCAAGTCATTATTTTTTTTTTTCGTTTTTATTTTTACCACCGCGCGGTATAACTGGTTTACTGCACGCGAGTATATAAGTATAATAATTACAAAGTACATATTTTACGCCGACCGTTTTATAGCCGTCGGATCGTTTCGATTATTGACGATTTGTTAGTTTTCGCGATATTGACACGACTATAAACGTATTGTACTATTATTGCACACTAAACCGGGCACGCGTACACGGTAAGCAGACATCAGGGGGAAGGGGAGTTGTTAATAAGTAAAAAAAAATTTAATAACATTTCGTATACAGAGAAATATGAATTCGTTCGTTAGAAGTACCATTTTTTTTTTTTCAAATTTCGATGGTTCGAATTCCCGATTGTCCTTTGTATAATAGTTCCTTCACTTGAGATAACGCGGATACCCCCGTATTTATTTTCTCGGTCCAATTCAAATGGGCAGCATAGCTTAAATCACGCGGTTTAGAAAATTAAAATCAACTAACACTAACACCCATTATTGCTATACGATTATTTGAAAAAATAAAACGAAATGTCCGCAACACGTCCGCTACTATTTCGGTTGAGAATATTTTTTTTTTTTTTTAAAAGCAACGCGGTGCTCTCGAAAATATTCGCTTCTTTAAATTTCCCGTGTCCGAAATAATTTGAACCGAAACGTCATCATTTCAATGTTTCAAATCACGCGGTTTTGTTATGTTGTACCGAAACAGTACAGAAATATGTATACAGGTATCACATCCCGTCTTGCCACTGCGATTTTTCACATTGATGATATTTTACCGGGGGAGTAAAATGTCATCTAGGGAAATTTGGCCTGTAAGATATGAGGGAGGGGGGATTCCGCAGTCACTAGTAAAATTAAACTCCCGCCGGTCAAATTTCTCCTGTGAAAATTGACCGGCAGCGAGATTCAATTTTCGCTGTCACGCCGGTGGGTACTGCTGCCAATATTAAACTGCGAATTTAATTAATATTTATAGTAGGTATACGTACCTATAAGTACACAGTAATGTTCGATAAAACGCAGCACAAACTTCTTTTGACGTTTATCAAACGTTCGCCGTAAGATTTAGCAGTCATTTCTGTTTTTAGTATTATATTTATTTATTTAAAAAAAAAAAAAAAAACGAGTTGGAAAAACCTACTTTACTAGCAAACCAAGTTTGAGCCGTATATTTTAAAAGATAAACTAGGTATTACAATTTCGTAAAATTTTGAACGAATTTGCCAACCTAGTGTATTAATATGCGCAATGCGCATACTAAGAGCCGTTCTCTCCAACATAGACGCTTTCGTTTATCCGATTTTTAAACGGAATTTGTGGCCGACGTCTGATCACGATCGTTCGGTTTTCGTACGAAATCCGTTTAAAAATCATCGTTTATGTTGGCGAGAACGGGGCCCCCTATACATATATTATAATACTTGTGCGTAATAGAAACCTCAACAAATTCAAAATCTTTCAGCCGACCGGATATTTTTGAATAACTCTTTAAGCGCCAATTATATAATTATTTTAAATTGTTAAAATATTCTCCAGTATAAATATCTATAAACGCATATATATATTGTTATTCAATACTCATATAGTTAAATAAAAAACGGTAGTATTAATGACGAGCCGATTCCGAACAGCCGAGGTGGAGGTGGAGGAGAAAAGGAAAAATACGAATTTATATTTTAAATTTAAAATAATGTTACGAACGATATTAAATCTCCTTTTTAATCAAATCAACAACCACGACAGCGTACTGGTAACTTCACGCGGACGGGGATATAATGTGTCTAAACTTATGTTTAATAATATAAAACGGGGATATAACTTACTATTTAAGGTGTTTAGAAACCTAAAACAATTGAAAATATATCCTACTTATAGTAAGTATATTATAGTGTCTATTTGATTGTGTCGGTGTACCTCTGTATAGACTATATAAATAATGATTAAACTGTAACTACGTTATAGTTTTTGGTCAACGCGGCGATAAGATAAAAACAAAAAACAAAAAAACTTATTACTTACCGCGTAACAATAATGGAATTAAAAAAGAAAAGAAAGATAATGGGGATGGGTGCAGCCACTGATGTAGATGGGACGTTTTGAAGGTAGAATAAAGACGGGAAATTAATGTATACCTGTAAGCAACGATAAATCATTGCTTACGAAAAAACGATTCTTAGCGGAGTTCAGTTGATAGTGATACTTTTTCAACAATATATTTGGCATTTTATAGTAAAAAACATAATTAAATAGGCTTTATATATTTTCTTTAATACAATTTGTTTAATGTTCTACAGATTTTCCCAATTTTCCTAAGTTTATCCCGTTTTTCCCATGTTTTATCCCGGTTTTTCACATTTTATGAGAATACTCTTGAGAAAATCGAAAAATTACTTTCATAAAGTACCTTCACATTCCAATTTCCTTTCAGAAAAAGTACAACACGTAGAAATCTGTGCAAGTCTTCTAGTAGAAAAGTTGCGCACAGATAAAAAAAAAAATAAACATCTTTATAAAACCATAAGCTTCTTCGCTCCACTCAGAATCTAAAATCTTATACAATAAAACCTATATATATTTACCTATTCGTCCTACACAACCCCTCCCCTGATCTGTTATTATTTCAAAGAGAAAAAATAAATCCCCGCTTACAGTTACAGCCGCGGAACATTATTATATAATACCCCGTCCTTCGCGCAAGCATTTCATTTGACGCGGGTTTTTTTTATTCTTCCCGGAGTTATACATATTTAAATATAAATTACATATTTATACCGGCTGAAATATTTTCCGAATTTTTTGTAATTAAATTATATGTGATAATCAACTCGTTAATTGCACCGTGATAATATCGTTGATGTGTCGATTCCGTGGACGTGGCCCGTTCGGCTCCCGTTTTACAAAAAGGTGAATTCCCAAACGGCTCCCGTTTTACAAAAGGGTAAATTTCCAAACGGTTCCGGTTTTTACAACAAAAATTCTTTTCCACTTCAAACAGACTTAGGACTGTCTCAAAAAGAGGTGCGATTAAAAATGTGTTGGTGTTTTTTGAAGGTTATATTCTAAGTAAATTATAAAAAGTCATTTATTTGATACTGTGAATTAAATTTTATTAAAATGATATTCAATATTAGTGTTAAAAAATAGAAAAAAAAATGCATGCATCTATAAAAATATATAAACATCATACTAGGAGTGAATATTTTTTAAGACACAATTTTCGATAAGCTAGATAGAATTCGTTTAACAACAATCCATATAGGGCATATAATGTTTGAAAACGTAAAGTCCAAACTTTAATAATTTGAATAGATTCAATAGAACTTGTTATCGTAAAAAGTAAGATATGATACGAATATTTTCTGCGTAACATATGTACGTTTTGAGTACAGAAATACGAGAAATTGTTACGAGAAATATACACGTACCTAGTACCGATACCGGAGCCGTTTGGGAATTTACCTACTCGTGCAATCCTTTTCGACGGGCGACATTTGGGAAAAAACAAACATTGTATGGAAGCCGTTTGGGAACCGACCGATTCCGTATCAGGTACATATTTAAGACAACAACGACAGGCCATCAGCAAGTCCATTCAGAGGTATTTTGGGGCCCGGGGCAGAATCATGCAAGGGGCGTCTTTTTTATTTAAATTTTATTTTAGGATATTAAATCTAGATACATACTTTTCACAAAAATGTGCTGACAGCACTTATAGTCTATAGACTACTTTTTAGACTTACCTGAGGTGGCTTTTTATAAATAATAAGTTGTACATAGTATATTGCATGAAACTTTTGTTTTACGTATAGATGTATTTAGTATACAAAATTATTATAATTATAAATATTTTTTTTAAAAAGTACAATTTATTAATAAATACATAATATTTGTAGTTCATAATACTCCGTTCATTAATATTATTACAGTATATAAATAAGATTAAATATTTTTTTCTTTACGCGATTACATGGAACCCCATGATTATTAGGTCTTCGGTGGGCCTAGACGGGCCTCTGAACGGGCTTGGCCATCAATGATATTTTCGGGGGCTCGTGAATGTCGTCCTGTGCCGTAACAAAACCGATGATAAAAAGGCCCGCATTGACCTGCCCTATACCCTGTGGTAATCGAACTCCTAATGCCCGTCCCTCTTGTACCGAGGTCTATAATGTAGTAAGCGTATAGTATTATACAAACACTCAGTTGCGTGTTAATACGGAGGGGAGGTAATATTACACGCGACAAAGGCTGCGAGGCAGGTACTTTTATGATAAAGACTATTACCGTGCGGAAAACTTATAATTGATGGATTATAGTTATAGTTATAGTTAGGCGATTAGACAATTGGAATTTGCGTACATATTCAATATTAAACACTTTCCGAATATGGCCGGGTACGTAAATATACTATATTATAAACCATGGACGAGGGGTGTCCGCATTGAAAATACGCCACTGCTCATTGTCCTTAATATCTATAATCTCACATCGCCGTTGTATTATCGTTTTCGTAATACACGCGAGTAATATTCTATTATACGAGAAATTATAATGTATTGATAAGTAATACAATATATTTTCGTGAAAACGAGTTTTATCGAATAGATAAACATGTTACTGTAGAAATACCTATGCACAGAAATACACACGAGTTTAATGTATATTGATTGAATAATTCATAATAAACAAAAAAAAAAAGAAAAACTCCCCAAATGATTACCAACGCAGAGTTACGTAAATGAAATACTTATACCTATACCTATTATTGTGTAACGGAACACTCGGTTTTATTTTAATTTTTTAATATTTTATACGCCCACGTGCCATAATATAGTACACATATAGGTACATACAGAACGTATAATATGACATAAATGTCACCGTTAGTGAATTGTGCCTGGAAGGGGGTGGTTAGGGGAGAGCGTTTTTTACTGTACATCCCTTCTCGTTGAAAATGTCCGCGCATGCCACTGATTACCGTAAACAAATAAATTATTATTATTAATTCAACGGAGTTTCTCATTCGTTTCGAAACGCGTAAAACATACGTTCTACACCTATATATTGCCACCGAGCAGGACCGAAAACAGAAAAAGGGGGGGGGGTTGACGTCATGCTATAAAACGTGTAAATTGAAATCGCCTAGTCGACTATTTAACGATGGTAATTTTATTTTAAAGTCGACAAAATTAATAATTTCTTATAGGTTTTTCGGTATTTTGTGATACGCGAGTACACCGTTATGGTTATTATTATTATCGTCAAATTTATTACCTATATCGAAAGACAAAATTACGAGTAAAAACGTTTTTTGAAGTCGGTGAATTGTTAATCGCATCGTTGCTCCGTAGAAATTACACCTTAGTAAATCCATCAGTAAACATTCAGTATCACTATAGTGAATATTTTTTAGATACTGGTAAAATTCCTCTAGTTATTATCAACTCCCCCTAATATTTTACGCCCTGTCAAGTATCACGGGGGTCAATGATGCGCCAGATCTACCAGAGAGCTATACTAATAGTTATATGGGAAAGATTAGGTATAAATATATAATATTTTATTTTAAATTTACTCGAATCAAATCGAACGTTCTAAATAGCGACTGAAATTGGGTAAACTTTGTCTGATGCAAAATGTGTTTATAAAAAATCGATATCTCTTTATTATATAATAATATATGCATACAAGCGATCCCACGGAAAGTATTGAACGAAAAAATTAAAACTCGTCTCCCCTCCACCTCATGACTTCCCGTCCCGAACCGTCCCTATCACACGGTTAACCGTTGTCGGCCGGCAATTTTTTTTTTTTTAGAGGATACTTACTTGCTCGTGACAACCGAATTAACTAATAATAACTGTTTTTTTTTTATTTTTCATCCGCGTCGCTAAGGTAACCCATAAATCGACAAAAACAATTCGTAACAATTATACTGAAAACCTCGTATCGAAGGCTTCATTTAGGAGTTGAATTTCGGAAATCCGAGCACGGGGCTTATTTTTTATGTAAATTGTTTTCAGACGTTTGTCTGCCATAGACTCGAATGTATACGTTTCATACGCATATAATAAGACTTAGCAACCCTGTTTTATTCGAAATCGAAATATCATTTATTTTATAAACTAATGAAATAACTATATTTATTTGATATTGAATCACACTATACAGTAATTGTTACTATTTTCCATCAAAATTCGGTGGTGCGAGCGAGTGAGTGTGTGTGTGTGAGGGGGAGAGTAGTGAAGTTTTCCCGATATTTTTGTATAGTACTTGTGAATTATGAGATAATTTTTGAAAAATCCACTATAATTTCTACCACTCCCTCGTACCCTTGACGACATTACAAGACCGCCACCGAATGGAACATTCCAAAAATACCAACAAAAACCGTGCATAATATTGCACAGAGAACAAAATCTAAAAAATATAGAAACTTTTTATTTATTTAACAATTACAAAAAAAAACCCCGCGTAGGTTTGTACCTACTCTACGCTTTTTTTCCCCCGTCCGAAATCCTAAAAGTCTTTGATGACACGCGAAGCTCTAAAACCGCCTTATTTTTTAAATATATATATGTATATTTGTATGTGTATAAGGGAGCTACACGCGCGCTTTCCTTACGGTTCGCAAACTTAATACCTGGAATCTCGTGCATAGGGGCTTCCTCGGCGGGTTTTTCGCGCTCTCCTCCCCTACAATATATACACGTACCTCTATCTATATACAGATATATATATATATATATATATATATTCCTCAGTCGGCATTATTTCTCTATCTGTATATATATATATATATATACAGGATATACGAGCGGCGAGAGCGCGTTTTTAGTCGCCGGGTCGATATTGTGTTTCACAACATCGTGGGGGAGATATACGCGCGTTCAGGGGTGCCGGTATATATACGGACAAAACAAGACCCCTAGAGGGAAGTCCCTTATTCACCCCCGCCCGCTTGGTCCCGTGCCGCCGCGATGCCCGGTCACCCCATCATCCGCTCCGGGAACCCCCCATCGTGGTGGTGCCCGACCCCTGCAGGCGGCCGTATACAGCCGCTGTTCCGCCCCGAAACACCGCTGCGAACGCACGGGGTCTAAAAATACGCGGCGGCGGCGGCCTTTGGCGGCTGTAAATGTAAAAGCGAAAGAAAAAAAAAAATTCTCCTCGAGCTTTTATTTTTCCCGCTCCGTTGTTACCAAGGCGACACGCGTACAAATTTCCGACGGGATATTATTCACGATATCGTAATATTATTATCATCGTCATCGTTTCTGCCCGAAGTATTGTAAATATTATTTATTATCGTCACCGAGCGTATTATCGTGTTATCATTATTGTATGCTCGCTAACATTAAATACGGTAAGCTAAAAATCTGATAACGCCGATCGATCGCTATATAATTATGTTTTGTACGCAAGGACGAACACTAGCTGTCGGTAGGGTTACCAACCGTGTCCTGTTTCGGACAGGACGGTCCTATAAATTTGGTGAGGTTCGTGCCACGACCGAAGACACTTTAAATTTTACATATAGGACAACCCTACGTTTCGTTACGCATATCTTATAGGTTTAAGAGGTATCCCGTAAGGTGATACCTTTGAACAAGAAAAATTTGTTCTTTTGTTAGTTTTGCATACTGTACAATTTTAATAATAAAAGCATTGTTATACGATTTTTTTGTCTTGGGAGGGGGGATACTTTTAAAGAAGGTCCCGGGGGTTTCCCCTCTTCCTTGGTCCTATATTTTACATTTAAACAGCCGGCAAACCTAACATTGCGTTTTGTTTATCATTTACCCGTGAATATAATTCGTTCAGAATCGTAATATTATTTTCGAAATTTTAAATTTCGCATTCACGATATTTCCAATTAAATTGAACGATAACGCCGCGTCGTTTAAAATCACACTGATTCAAAATCACGTTTTATTATTTTACGAGTGCCAATAAAAAACCGCGAAATAGTGGCATTAAAGAAAAACACGTCTCATATAAAATCTGTCTTTAATATTATTGTCATTTTGGAGTTGTTGTTTTAGAAACGAAAACATTTTTTTTTTTTTTTTTGCTTCTGGCAGTCGTCGTTATGGAATCGGGACAACATTGGGAATTAAACCGACGAACTAGGGTTGCAAAAAAAAAAAAAAAAAAAACAAAGCAAACCAATGTGCTTTTTTTTATTTTACATGTATGTGTGGTTTTTTTTTCTAAATATCTTAACAATATCATTAAAAATATAATTTGATCGTAATAGAACAAAATTTATTATTTTTTTTTTTTTAAATCCAATAGAAACTGATTATTTTCGTTTATTCGTTGTTCGAATTTGATTTTCGAACGTTTTAAACAAGTGTTCATACGAAGACACTTTGCGAACCTGCCGACACGACGATGTAATAATTTCGCGCGTGCCCAAAAACGATATTTTTTTTTTTTTTTTAAACGTTATACGTAGGTGGGTATATTTGCGTAACGTCATTTCTGCGCACCGTGGTTTGTTATAACACGCTGCTGACGTCGCCGTTCGAAATAATTGAATTTCTACTCTCTCGGTTTTGACGGCGGCGGTCCGCTCGTCGACTTCGGACGTTTATACCCACGTCCGGTTCGGGGGACTGCGCGGCGCGCGCGCACGCGAATGGTGTAGTCACATAACAATGGGAACAACAACATCTTCGGTTGTGATTTAATACAGTGTTTAATACCTATAACCATTTATGTCGTTTTATTATCACGTACAACACGCCACGGGTCATTTTCAACGGATCTCACACCACCTACCGCGATCGAACCTTATTTCCCCCCTACCGCCCACCCGCCCTACTGGCATGTGGAAGCGTAACGCGTTCGATACTGCTAACAGGTCAGTGATTATAGTACGGATAATATTATTTATCATGCCTTGGCGATTTTCGTTTCTCAAAATATTCGCAACGACGCAATTATCGTTCTTCGACTAAGGTTTTCTGGACAAAAAAAAATATATATATATATATATAATATCGTGGCGATTTTCCATCGCGTACATAGCTTTCGGTTCGCGTCCTTTTCTCCCCTCAAATTCACCCTCCGTAGCAGCAGTAGTAGCAGCAGCGTACAAGGCTCTCCCTGCATTATTTCGCGCGGCGCTGCAATATTATCGACTCCTCCGGATTCCCCCTATACCCCCACTGAGTCACCGTGCAAAGGGTCTGTCCCCCTTGTTTTAATCCCCCTTTCGCGCTGCCACTCCCCCCATCGTACGCACACATACACGCAAATTTATCTACATACATATATATCTGGGGACCGCGCTTTTAACGATCGCTATGACGGTTCCCTCGTGGCAGCGCAGTTCTCCCCCACTTTCATCCCCCTACGCACGCGAAACAAACAAAAAAAATATCGTGCTAAAAAAAAGGGTTGCTGAACTGCCGGATTGAAGAGCCAAGTCCAGTATAGTATCACGAGTAGTTATTTTTTTTCGAAATTATTAATCAAAAGTTGTAGAATATTCAAACGAATAACTTTTTAGAAACGATAATATCTTATACTTTCCAGATTACTTATTTATCTAACAGTACACTGTTAGATACATAAATAAAATTGATTTTACAACGAATTATTAGGTACCAACCTATATGACATTTACATGTCTATTAAATATCGTTTGAAATATACTAAGAATATACTAGAGAGATCTCGATTAAAAACGTGAACATGAAATCCGAATACACGTGTATAAAATACACGTGAATTCGCTATTCGTGTTTACGTGTTTTAGTTTTATTCGCTTGAATACGTCATGAAAGTAAATGAAAAATAATACATGGAGAATATTGAACACTCGATTATATACGTGTAAACGTTAATAATTACACGTGTACACGGTTTTATAAATTCCAATGTTATTTTCATGCGAGTGTATACGTGAAATAGTTGAGAGCTCTAGAAGCTACAATTTATATATGTGTAACTACATTGTACGTCCTGTGAATATGACAATGAAACGAAAATACCCGTTTCGAATTGAATATAAAAGATAAGATTCACATAAAAAAAAAAAAAAACTTAACTATTCTACGATGATTTTCGACGTACATACAGTGCCTTGTGTATAATGCAATATCGTCGTATTAAACAATAACAATTTTTATATTTTCCACTGCGGTATAAATACCTAACGGTTAGGTTAGGTTCTAATCTATTTACCTGCAAAGCCGAAAAATCCGAAAACCATTGCAACAATAATTCGTCTGTGTTGTCTACGTATCTATATAGTATTGTTATTATTTTTTTTTTTTTTTTTTTTTTTTTTTTTTTACAGTACGGCCTTTTTTATTCTGTGCATAGCCGTTGACGATATTGACGAAAAAAACCTTACGCTTATTGTATATAATATCACAATAGGTATCGGACCGTAATTTATTGTGCAGATCGACGGTCGCCTAATAATGCCTACCGTTATCCGTTTCCTTTGAGACGCCGAAATACCTGATGAACGAATAATATTGGAAATCTGCTATGTGTAACGCGTACCACCCGTAGTATAATGTACGCGTAGACGCAGATATCTATTATATTATTATACCAGTATTTTAGTAAACGAGAAACTGACTTCGGGGGGGAAACGTCGATTTTTTTTCCCTTTTTTTTTTTTTTTTTTTCCTATAGATTCAGCTGTATTACCATGAATGTTTTTAAACCGACTATACAGTGTATACACTACAGTCACCGTGCGTTGGTGCACACATGCGGGACCCTCGCTAAGGTTTTATAATGTTGCCCCATAGTCAGGACGTGCATGCAGCAGGTCTATCCGAAAAGGTCCGTCTCCCCCGACCCGCCCACGACCGTACACACACCCGTCCCTTGCCGCACACCGTATATGTGTGTATATATATATATATATACGCGTGTCTGTGTGTGCCCGTGTGCGTGTACGCATTACTAAAACCAAGGCCCCCCGGCACGACGACGGTCGGGTACCTCGCAGGGGTGACCAAAATTATGTTTAACGTTTAGTATCCAGAAAAAAAAAAAACCCCGAGTAAAACATCGAGTTTTTTAATCGAACTACTATATAATAATATACGTTTCACACGCGCGAGAGACTACGGTTGATGTTGATAACGATATTAGTATTGTTACGGAATTTCACGTTTATCAATTCGTGTGGGTACCTGTAAAACATTATACGTTGTATATTTTACATATATATACGTCGTTCGTTAACGTTTTGCTCAATAATAGTACAGAGTAAAATAATCCGTACGCAAAACAGTCTATACTGTGGTTTGCACGAATACAATCTAAATCGCATCGATAATCAGCAGACCGTCAATTAAAATATTATTTTATAGGTATTATAGGTACGAGTAGGCGATATTAGAGTACGGATGATGTAGTAATTTCTTTTCTTTTTTTTTCTATTGATCCAACACGAATAAACTACGTCAGTTATATATTTGTGTTTCATTTCATAGGATTAGTACTTGAAATTTTTATTTCGATTTTTTCGCTTTTTAATTACATTTTCGGAGTATTAATTAATAATTATTAGTACTTTTTAAGGGTTTTGGTGCATTTATTTTAGGTGTTGTTTTTTTAAATTTTTCATGAGCTACATCATACGAACCCTGTGTAGTGATATTGTTAAGAAGAATGAATATCGGATAGCCGATTATAATTCGATTATAACGAAATCAAATGTACCACCTGCATAAATATCTACACGCACAAAATTAAAAACATTGAATAAATATTTGTAAAATTTTAGTTTGGGAAATCACGTTCGTGACTACATTTTTCTCGAATTAAAAACGAAACACTAATATAAATATATTTACGTATTTTCCCTATGTTGTTATAGATGACGAACGATATGGAGGTCAGCAATAAATCATTTCATCTCCGGTGGAATAATCATTTGGAAAATTTACGAGCGCTGTTTGAATGTCTGTTTAACGAACAAATTCTAGTCGACGTGACAATCGCTTGTCAAGATGGCTTATTGAGAGTGAGACTTTGTTATAATAACTTTAAATACGATAATTATTATGATATGCTTGCATATACTGACTTTTTGTATTTTATTTTTAGGCACACAAGTTAATCTTATCGGCGTGTAGTCCGTATTTTGAAACGATATTTCAAGAAAACCCGTGTAAACATCCTACGGTGATAATGAGAGGTGTTACCGTACAGGAAATGCAGAGTCTGTGCCAGTATATGTACGTGGGTTCGGTCGAAATACAAGAAAGCAGTTTAAGTTCTCTTTTAAAAGTAGCCAGAGAACTGCAAATTAAAGGTAAATTTGCATTGCAAGCATTTTTATTTTTCAAATTTAATTTTCTATAATACAATTTGTTTAGGTTTATCCGAAAAAACCGTCTCCAGTGATCAAACAAAACCCAAACCGACGTTCAATTATGTACCGATTAAGTCATCCGAACCTTCCGATATCGACGCTAATAATAAATTTGAAATGGTAAATGGTATATGGTAATAATGATGACCGGTTTCGTAATAAAATTATGTATATTTTTTTAGACAAACGGCAGCACGAGTTCAATAGAAGCGGATTCAAAGGCCTTCCAAGTTCCCTGTGAAGACGATTCATCGGACAATAATACGTCCTTCGACCACTCGAATATGTTAAGCCCGCAAGTGATGATGGACGAGCACACGGACGAAAATAAACCGACCATACTATCGCAGCCTAAATACCAACCGACCCAAGTAGATTTCCAGGCGTTTATTGAGGCTCAGAACAAAGTCAACCTAACCGGGTCGGTCGAGTGCCCGACGTGCCAACGGACGTTCCTTAACAAACAGAATCTCAGACGTCACATGCAAACACATTCTGGACTGAAACCGCACCAATGTTCATTCTGCAATTTGTCATTTTTAAGGTTATCGCATTTACAACGTCACCATAGGACACATACTGGCGAACGGCCGTTTACGTGCACCGAGTGCCCGAAGAGTTTCTCGAGATCAGACAAATTAAGATATCACATAATGCAGCAGCATGCCAGTATGACTCATCTTCCCGGACCCAAGCAGAGAGGTAGACCGAAAAAGGTCAGCATACTAAAAACTGTGTACTGACACTATACTAACCGCAAATGCTAACAGTGTCTTGTACAAACATTTTTTAACCGTATGCTTTCACTGACATTTTTATTAATGGCATTCATTTTTTGTGTATTTCAGTTTGATTCACCGACTAGCAATGTGGATGTCACCATGGTGGCGAACATACAAAATTTCGAAGAACAATGTGTTCCAGCACCTGTACAGGAACTCCAAGAGCCATTAAACTTGGCTCATTAGATCTCGTCACCATTTCAAAATATTTTTTCACATATTTTTTGATAAAATATAGTGTTCATAAATTTTAGTCTATTATTAGTCAGTTTTGAATTTTTGATTCTTGTGTAAATATCCAATATGTATACGTTAGTGTGTGGATTGCATATAAAACACTTTTACTGTGATAAAGTGAATTCATACATATTATTATTATTGTGAACAAAAATTTATTTGAACTTAGTTTGTCCAAATGTATATAATATATATTATTATTGTATTGTACGTACATCTATTTTAGTATATTATTATGTAGCTTGTGTCAGGAGTTATGATGTACTTGTATGGATGATGATATTATTAGTAATACCTATGTTTGTATTTTTTTTTTATTTTTGTGTTTAGAATCAATCAATTATTATATTATACACTTTTAATTATACTTTGACCATAGATAACTAATTAGAACAACATAATGTTTATGTACTTGGGGTTTTTTGTCTCCAAATTTTAGTTTAGCTTTATTATCAGTTATGTTTTACAACTGATATCAGAAAAAAATATGTTTTCTATTAAAAATAAGCATATAATAAGACTGATAAAAAAAACAAATGATTGTATAATAATAATAACCAATATTGTATGCAATAGAAATGTAAACTTACCAGAATCGATGATGAGTATATTTTTTTTTCCTTGAAGAAGATTAATGATTGGTTATAACCATTGTATTGTATTATAATACATATGTCACAATATATATTATTTACGTATTATAAATATATTTAAAAATTTAATTGATTGTATTCTATGTGTGTTTTTATATGTACGTACATTTATTTTTTAAGTTTTTTTCTATTTGTAAAGTAAATATTTTATTAATACGTAATTAAAATCAATATTTTCTTTTATATAACAGGGTTTATTATAATTTTTAAGCACTGGTTGAAGGTGCTAGACAACTATTCGATCCCAAGCTTTTGAAAAAACTACCCGTTTTGTGTGTCGGACTTGGTTGGTTTGAAACGACAGGATTGCAATTCAGGCAACCGTTCTTCCTCAGATGTCTGTTATTCACATGTGACAATGAATTTTTCAACTGACCAATTTGTGTAGCCAACTTGAATATTTCTTCTTTGAGTTCCTCATTTTCCGTCTGTAAATCATTGGTTTCTTCGCAAATCTCGTTCATCTCATAGGACATTAAACCTTTGCCTTGTAACTTGTTGTTTTCCCAGTGATCGCCTTGACCGTTCAGTACTCTCACTACTTTTGAACCGAAGACCAGACCAATAGTTACTGATGTACTCAACTGAGTCCGGATGAATCCCAATGTATATTTGAAATTCGGACCGATGTCGGGAAACAAGAAAAAGCTAAAATGAAAAAAAGAAAAATTTAACTCTATTTATTTGTATTATGACTGGACACATATAAAACTAACCAAACGACGATGAAATACGGGTGATCGAAAAAAATAAAAATGCATAGTATTACGACCGAATCTTACTGTATCGTCATCATAGTAATATTGACTATAAATATGTTGTAGATGGCAAAGTTGATGATTTGTGCTTCATTGTAAAACGACTCGGCGTTTCTCACTATGTAACACACCCGGACGCCCCACGCCAGAAACAGAATTTCACCTAAACATATTTTATTAAAATATTAATTTTATTACGTATTTCGTATCACATACCAGCCGCTAGACAATAGTCCCACCAATCGTTCGAACATCGCCAGAACTTCATCCGCTCCATATACTTTTCCAGTACCGCTTGTGGCGGGTCGCTGAGTGTCCACGATCCCATGTACACCAGCACTATCATTAGTATTGGTGTCATCCATTGCAACAGTTGTTTGTCGGTGAGCTTTAGTTTGTGCGCAGACTTCACTCTGTACGTCAGTGATACTCTCCATGTCTTCATCAACAATGCCGAGTATGTTATGCAAAACCCAAAGTGCCGCGTCCATTTTGTAGCAACGCACAGCTGTTGGGTGCACTCCGGGAACATGATACCCATCTTTATAAAGAAAAAAACTGTATAAAATTTACTGTGGACATATACCAGATAGGTATCTAAACATATTACATTTTATGGGTATTTAACGTTCGACTTTATTACTGGAATACGGGTGATAACCCAGCGGGAAATGTTGCCGAGCACCTCAATCTCTAATAAACTAGAGGTTTTTTAGCTAGCCCTGTCTTATATTATGAAAAAAATTTAACAAATGTATTATTATTATCTTCTTAGTTAATTTTCAATTCAAATTAAAAATGTGTAATACCTTTCTTTTAAATCAGAATTTTTACATCACTTAAAATAAAGTTAGGTTGTTTAAACTATTTTGTAATTATAATTCTACCGTTCTATATTTGATGTTCTTAACTGTTAAATAAGTACATTGGTGTGTAAAATTATAAGTCATACATTTGACAATATAATGTTTTATAAAAATCAATGGGTAATAGCGTTCATTTAGTATGGGAGAATCGCACGTACTATGAAATGTGCAGTTCATAAAATATAAAGTAAGGATTTTGGTATTGCTAACTTTGTGATTTACTGAGTTTATCCTTCTATATTGATATTTTCTGGAAAAACTTTATAAGAACTTTTAAACTCGGTATTAATTGTAAATTAATGCTAATGGTAGCTAATGTAGTTAGCCTATCTTCTATAGCTGAACGATGACATATTGCGAGCATTAGGTTCATTGAAAGGTTATTGAACGGCAAAGTCGAATCATTTTCAAGTTTATCTTTAACCTGTTTTAAAATACCTTTTTTACGTTCCACATGCAACCACGAATTACTTTGCAAACGAGCTATTAAGAAAATTACTAATTAATATCAAACGACAATGCGGACTCAAATTTCACATTTTATTGATTTATAATTTTAATGTTTTTTTTCTCTATTTCTGAACTTTTGTTGACATTGTACTCTTATCCATTGTAAATATAAATCGTGTTTTACATACATTAAAAAGGAATCGGCACGTAAAAATATATAAAATATAAATAAATTTAAAAAACAGACCAAAAAAAAAAGGAGGAACACAAATAACCGTTGAAATAAAAAACAATAATTTTTTTTTTTAAATTTCAATAAGTACTTTAAATTTAGTGTTAAATTCCGCATCTATTTATTATAAAATTATATCTACTGTGGGAAATTATCTGATAATTCTACATTAAAACCGTACCTTATTTTGATATTAAAATAGTAAATATCAACATAATATTATGAAATATAAAATGTTTTTATTTTATTATTGCCGTACCTATATAATTTAGTACTTAGTTCAAAATTATAACGTATCTCTAGATCAAATAAATTCAAACCCGGGAATTTGTGGTTTTTTTTATGACTGATTTAAGTAATAAAAGTTGGGTTGAATTTCAATATGAAATTTATCGTGTTGTTGTTGTGGTAGTAGGTTATTTTGTTTTATTTTGAACATCCATATAGACCCTCCAAATGAAGACAGAGTGATGCAATTTTATATATGTATAGTGTTAGTATAAATGGTGTGTATATGAAGGATTTCAACTTTCAATCCATGTTCAACTAATCTACTGCCCAGCTTTGGTAAGAATTCAATCTTTTTGACAAAGTTATAGATTTAAATAAGTCGTTGTTCATTTAAAATAATTAGATAAATAAATAATGATTATTACTAGAGTTTTTTTAAGATAATATGACAACTAGCCAAAGCTAAACAAAAACGTCCGCAACGACCTATTAAAAAACATACCACTTCTTTCAGAACATAAAATGTTAATTTGATTATAAATTCTATTTACTTCCGAGTACATGATAATGCAGCCGATCAAAGTGATAATCAGGAACGTCGGACTTGCAATACGAAACACTTTAATCCGGCGGTTTTTGTGTACGAACCATATGAGTACCACGGTGCACATTATACAAACGATAGTTATTCCAAGAAACGTACTTCTGAAATACATATAAAATAATAATTATCGGGCCATATATCTAATTTAGGTGTTTTATTTTAAAATTGTTAAGATTCTTAAACAAATTTGTTATCTATTTTTCACCTTAGTGTCCACATAAACGGAGCCATACAACTTTTGGGTCCATCGCATACGTCACATCCTTCCCAACACTTTTTACAAGAATATCGGTCTTCGATTTCTTTCGGCGAAGCCACTGCAGGAACGATTAAATGTGTGTACTAAAGGTTTTTGACCTTTGGCAATATAGATAGATATTACTTATTTTTATGCAATTTATACCTTCCACCAATATACCATCGAACATGCGGTGCAATGAATAATATCCCGGTTTGCACTTGCACCAATAATTTCCAGCGGCGAACCGCCGACCGCCTTCCTTGTACGCGCAATCGGTTGTAGGATGGCATTTATTTGTCCCGTTGAACGCATCGTTAGACCCATCGGACATTTGACATTGATTAATCGTCACCGATGACAAGTTCATTTCGATCACAATACTACAAAACGTATTTTAAATTTATTCTGCTATAGAATATTCATGTTAAATACGGTATCGTGAATTATTTTGAAACATTAAAAACACGTTAATACAATACAAATTGCATTGAATTTAATATTTGGAGCGTAGCGAGCGTATGTGAACAACTTTTCAACAGAGAAGAAATCTTATCTAGTTGGTGCGTTGGGGAAATCTTTATTCGACTGTCCAAGCAGTTTTAAAAACATTGAAAACAGACGAAAAAAATAAAATTGATAAATTCATTACCTTTAGATTCCTTTTTTTTTATTTTTTTAACTTTTACGTCTTGTGTTTTCTACGAAAAATATTGCTCAAAAAAAAAAAAAAACAAGAAACTTTTTTTGGAACACTGCGTCAGAGCAAAGGATTTTAAGAACAAATTATTATCGTGGACAATTATTAATAGTGGATACCATGACGTTAGATATTATATTATTGGCAAATTAATTTTAAATGATATTGTGCCCCGAATCTGCTACGTTAAGAATAAAAATACAATTTTCGTTTGACACTATTAACTATTACCAGCCTTCTCCGCGGTTTATCTCATTTAATTAAATTGTAATTTCATCTGGGATTGTGATTATTTTAAATCCAATGAAAGGCATAGGTAAAATTACAAGAATAATGTTTTTTTTCTTTTTAGTAAAAAAAATCGAATGAAAAATAACAGTAGAAACCAGAAACTATTTCAATTTTACTTATATTAGCACATTTATAAACGCGGAAAAATTTTTAAAATATTATATCGTTATTAAGTTTTTAAAATTGTCCACCTATTTGTAATGTTCGAGTATTTTTTAGTTTTATGTAGATAACAACTTTAAAATTTGTTTATATCAGCATTTTAAATTCATTTTCATGTTAAAATTCGTTAAAAACACGAGCAATTATAATTTATTTTGTTGTTATATATTAATTAAATGTATTAAAATATTTTAACCAAACTCTGATCAAAATCGTTTTCGTTGTGCAATGATTGCATTGTTGTATGCACAATTATAAATTAAATTACCCTATATATCCTATTTTAACAAGTACTAAACTACACTATTAGTGGCTCACCCATGGTGTGAATTATTAAGATAAATATTTTTTTTTCCTGTATTCGGTCCAATGCGCTTTAGATAATCACGAGTGTTGTCCGTCCGTCATATTATTATAGGCCATAGGGGCTCGCAATCAATTAATCGCTATTATTGTTACACTGAGCAAGTGAAACAAATTATATGTATCCATAGTACTTATATGAACGTGCTATTAAGACAGAAACAATTGAAGGAAAAATGCTTTCACGAACAATGCAATGAGAGAATAATAAATTTAAAAAAAACCATACCTATATCTATACTATTTTCTTTAATATTTTATACTTATTTGTAGAAGTATTTTATCGTTTTTAGTTTGGCAGTAATATTAAATTTGAGAATAGATATACAGGTGTCCAGTAATTATTTCTCATCGCGATTGGATTTAATAAAATAATAATCATGATTATTGGATGAATCGTAGAATCGTCTTTTGTTATATACCGAACCTGACAATGAGAATTTAAAAACCTGATCCGGAAAAGCCATTTTTTATTAATTAAATCAAAAATGTCTATTTCTTTGTAATTTGGTTGAAGTATATAATTTTGAGATAAAATTACTAAATTAATACTCATATAGTCGTATTTTTCTAGCTAGGGATATGTGCTCGCCATCGATACAAATACTTAATTTTATCGTTTTCAATTATTCATATTAGATAGTGTATTATTTTTATGGTGTAAACGAGTAAAATTTTTGTTATAAATTATAATATAATAACTCGATATGTTTTCGTTAAAATATTTCAAACTGAACACTCACGTGATATTATTTTCAAACGTGACCTCCACGTGTTCTACAATACTGCTACCGTCACATTTCCAACGCGTACTGTTGGTTTTATTAATTACCGAAGTGTACAAGTTTCCCGGTTTTTTGTAAGATTTGATTTGTTGATCACCGGCGTACAATTCCAGCAACATCAATTCCGGTACCGAATTCCAAAGCCACTTACAACTGGCCGCCAACAGTTCTAAATACTCGTAAATGTGAATGAAATTCACGCAATTACGACGAATGTTGTAACACGTTTACCGCAGAATGTTATTACCAGGGTTCGAGAACCTACGCGTTTACTTATTTTTTTGGCGTGTCAATCTAGCATAATGCTATGGAAATTTATGTTATATTACAACTAGTTCAAATATGACATTTTAAAGTGCAACCTTTCTTTGCCTTATATGATGGTTTTTATAAATAAAAATAGAAAAGACTTTGTACAAGTTTTTCCTAATTTATTTTCCTTATTTTCTACTTTATTATAACGTAAGCTTACGATTTTTAAATAGCCTCGCTTTATTACACATCACTTATTTTCTTGTTTATGTTAACTTATTTATTTATCGTGTCGTCGCTGGGTTTGTGCTCATGGAGCAATACAAATCCGCGAGTGTAGCATTAAAACCATTCAAGAGTTTAAATATGCAACGCAATTTGAAAGTGTACCTTTTGAGAATAAATTTATAGTTTTTTAGTTTTAGACTTTTTATGCTTATGTGAATTTGTTGAAGTACTATTTCAATGTTATAATGAAGTTTCTAAGCTCTTTTTTTTTTGTTGATATTAAGTGATATATTTCCGGAACCCTGATTATTGCTATGACGGAAATGAATAAATACTTACCACGCTTAATCGTCACATCTTGTTCGTTTAGCGATCGAATTAATGCCAATTTCGGTTCAAGAGATTCTTTGTGCCAAAACACTAGTGGCATGTTATGATATTCGATACATTCCAACCTACTTCCGTTTCCGATGGTTAAAGCTCTAACTACATCGATAGGCAAACTAACGTCTATTGCCGAGCCACTAAAAATAGTGACTTCGGAAACGCATTGCAGAATAAGCAAAACGCCGACTGGTAACAGGCGCGGTATCATCAGTACTGCGGCACGTCGTTCCCGGGAGACACGAACAGTAAAAATGGTCAGATCATAAAATATATTATCATCGAAAATGAAACAAAGCCCTATAATAACGTTCTCTTTCAATTGAAGCCGTACAACGAGTATACAGCTATTTAAAGTGGTGGGAAATTGAACGTATAAAACTCAGTACTACAAGTGTTAGGTCATTCGAAATAATAATTGTTTTTTATTTCCTATTAGAACACTGCGATCGTATTGTATACAACGACTGTTTTTATGTGTATGTAAGTGTAACAACTTTTTTTATTGAACATTTAAAAAATTATGAAATAAAAAACCGAAGCAAGTTAATGAAAATGATTAACTCGATCAAGTTAAAAATTAGTAAAATAAACATAATAGCCTTTATTTAAAAGTTAAAATTATCAAAAAATAAATCTAATTAGTTAAGTTAAAAGTTCAAACGCAAAAGATGTTACTTTGACGCAGTTAAAAAGAAGTTCTTTTAATTTTATTTTTTACTATATAAAATCAACCTAAAAAACATTAAATATAAGGTAATATATATTAATATGTTAAAAATTAAATTAAATAATACTATCACTGCAGTGAAATTTTATATATAAATTTGAGTACTGAAAACAATTAATTAAAATTGTATTTCCAATTTTGAAAAAAAAAAATCATTCGTCTCTAACTAAAATAAACTAAATTTAACTAAACTTAAACTAATAAACTCAATTTGTTTATGAATAAATGAACTATACAAAGTTTAATGTATACAATGAATACTTAAGTTAGTTAAATTATTCGGTTTAAGATAAATATAATTAACTATTTTAGTTAAAACAAATTTAACTTTGACTACTTAACTACCTAGTTAATCATAGGCAAAAATGTTCTATGATTTCAGAGAGGGTAGATATTTTAAAATACTTTATTGCATATCAAATCCGCTCTCTGCGTTTGCAAAAATCATCTTACATTAAACACCATGGAAAGCCTAAGTGTAATTTATTTTAGAAATCCTATTGCGGCTGTACAATACGTAAAAGAGTAAGAGTATGTAATAGGTATATGTATTGTATTAGCATATTGAACTATATTTCAAAGATTTAAAAAAGATAGGGAGATGAAAAATTGAATTATCATCAAAACAATTTGAAGTAACATCAATTAGTTTAATTTTATCTAGGAGATTTAAACTTAAACATTTTATTTGATAATGTTCTAAGAATTTTAAAGAAAACTGAAAATATCAAATATTTTGTTACACTAACAAACTTGTTGTATTAAAATATATTACAAAATTAAATTAAATATGTCATATTATATAATCTAAATATTCAAGAATACATAACATATCATTTAAATCATTTGTTTTGAAACAATATATCTATTCGTATATCAATTTTTTTTAAAAATGTATTTTTTCTTCGTGCTTCAACAATATTTTAGTTGAAAGTTACTACATATTATATATTATATATACAGCTAAAAATAAAAAAATGTACAAGTAATATATTATATTCAGTGTTATACACTAAGCGTGCTCACCTCATTTTTTTTTTTGGTTAAATTTTGCATACATTCAAATTCTGATTGCTGGAATTTTTAAGTGTAGTTAAAGCCGATATTTTCGAATACTTGGACTTTTCATTACATTTAAGGAGATATTTCACTTTTAAGTTTAGGTAGGGGAAGAGTAGTAGAACACTAATAAAATGCCATATGCCGTGCCGCCACACAAATGATATTCTACTACTCTTCTCCTACTTAAACTTAAAAATGGAATACATTGTTAACGGGTTGACGGAAATCAAACATTTTGACATCAAAATGTATTTATCATGTAATACTCCGTCTATTATTGGAATTTTTATAATAGATTCTCGTTTGAAAAATTAAAGTTGTTATCGCCACAGGATACTCCTTTAATGTTGTTAAAAATCCAAGTATTCAAAAATATTGGCTTTAACTACACTTGAAAATTCAGAAAATCAGAATTTGAATGTATGCAAAATTTAACCGAAAAAATCGAATGAGCACGCTTAGTGAATCACTTTGTATATAATATATTACCTGTACATTCACTATTTATAATTGTAACCAGTAAGCACTTTAGCGATTTGTGTTTGACAAATTTCTCTGTTTATACGTTTTTAGCTGGTTTAGACCCATCAAGCTTCCTCCAATTTTTGCCAATGTAGTTATAGTGCCCATCATTAGTTTTTTCCGTTCTCGTGGATTAACGGGTGCATTTACGGGAATTATTTTATCAATCCAGGACATTTGGACGTGACCGTTTGGGTGAAGAGACGACGTTGCTAGAATACCCACGTCAATACGAGAAAAGCCTCACGTTACGGTCCTTCAAATTTAATAATTTTAATTGAAAACAAAATTATAATACTCTTGTCGGGAATCGCCAGTTTAATTCAAATAATTGATTATATTATATCAAGCGAATTAACAAAACCAATTAAATAATAATGTTTACGGATAATGTTTGTAATGTGTTATATTTCAGTTAAAACGAATGTGTTTGTCATTTAAAACGTTAACATTAAAATATATTAAGTTCAGTAATAGTATAATATTTACCCGTTTGATTAATATTACTTTTATTGTAGTATCATAGTGCTCTAAAATAGTATACATTTTTTCATTAGGAAAATACGAACGAAATGATAATGGTTTTTGATAAATAATTAATAATATTGCAAACTGTAATAATATTGTTTGTCAAATATCAAATTAAATAAAGTAGGAATACCTACATTGACGATTTTTGTAATTGTGTGATAAACATATAATATTATGTATTTATGTAACACAATATAATGATGTAACATCAAGGCCGTCACACAATGTCCCAAAACAGGAATTTGACGGCCATAACCTAATTTTTTTTTTGTTACCTGAATACGGTATCATTATTTTCCAGTAAAATTAGAAGACATTTTCATAACTTTTAGTATTCATTAGTATAAGCAAACATTTTTTAGCTTTCTTTATCACAAAATATTATGTATTCTACCGTTCTAGTTGTCGGTGATTTTAATATATAATTAATTTATAACATAATAAACTCGTCATTTATTTTATTGTTTTTTTAGAACTCATTATAATATAATGGAGATAGATTTTTTATGTATATAAACCATAATTTATAATAATTGAAAATTTCCCAGGGATTGTAAAAGCACAACTGTAATTAATTACAAAAATAAAAAGGTTAGGTATACGTAGCGACAAAATACGAATTATCTACGGCTTACATATACAATGATAAAAACGAATATACTTGTAAAATAATATCACGAAATATTTTAGATAAGTTTAATTAAATTTCTCTGAAAATATTTGTATAGTTAGTAGTTGAATATACATAACATCTATCAATAACAGAAATAAGTACTTGGTGCGACTTGTGTCATTAATAACTACCTATACTGTTTTGTAGGACGAATAGCAAAACCGTAACTGGAAAATAATTTCAGGCGGGGGGGATAGTTGAAAACTAAAAGTTTGCGGTGCTTTAATTTTATTAACATATTCTATAGATTATTACAGCAAAATGTTAACCTCCCAAAAAACCCCCTCAGGTACTGCCATTATTGATAAGAGTTATTCTATCAATAAAGAACTGTTAATAATAATAATTATTATTAATTACTATAATTGTATACTGTATGTTATAAATGTAACATCGTACGGGCAAAGAAGTTTAAAAGACAATTATCGTGGACAATTAATTGCGAACACTATGAACGCCGGATACTTAATATAGACAACTAAGTTATCTTGGTTGATGTAATATGCTCCAAAACTGCTTTTATAAAAATAAAATTACAATTTTTTGTTTCACACGATTAATTATTACCAGCTTTCTCCGCGACGTAACTCATTTGATTATATTGTAATAATTTCATCAGGAATTGAATTAATTAATTTAAATCCAACGTATTTTCTACGAAAATTATCTACTGTGATTGTAAATATAAAAACAATTAAAACACCTTTAGAGATTGAATATGGAAAGACAGAGGTCGGGGGGAAGTTAGCCTACATGTTATTCCTGGTCAAGAACTACATCTACGCAAAAATTCAGCTTAATCCGTTTAGTAATATTGACATAAATAGGTAACAAAAATCCACATAAACAAACGTTCGAATTTATAATATTAGTAGCATATAGTATTAGGTAGGTTATTTGTTATTTGTATTTTATTATTCATATTTCCATGTAAACAAACAACTTTTAAATTCGGAGCGTAGCGAGGGATCCTATTGGTTTTATCGTATGATTTGTGTTTTTTATTTTTGTGTCTGAGCAACTTTGGGTTTATTTAGGTACTAGATACCTATTGTTAACGTTTTATAACTAAAAAAAAAAAAAAAAACAATTAAAAACCCGTAATTACGATGTCCGCTAATGTTCGATAGTTTAAAATTAGAAAATCCGTAGTCATCATAGATATATATTATATGTACTTACATACGTATATACATATATACATAATTATGTACGCATCTGCTATGGTCGAAAGTAAGATTAGAATGAAAAGTACCAATCAAAATTAATTACTAACATAATTCAAGTTTACCAATTATCTAGGAGTGTAGGCCGGGTCAGAGGAAGAACTGATTTGTGAATAAAAAAATTTGGTCCGTCCTACGATATTGCTTAATAACAAAAAAAACAAAATCTAATAACATAATTTTTATACCTACAACAAGTTATCAAATGAAAAACATAAAACTTCAATTTTATAATTGTTAAAATAGATTTAAGTAGGTATTTAGGAAATTAATACATTATTTTAGGAACTAGGTTCGGTTCTTATATTTTACCTAAACAGGAATAAATTGTTGTTACAGAATACTATTGATAATTACATTAAAATATTAAATTAAAAATTTTGATTATTCATTTACTAAAAACGTTTGTATACTGAAGTACACTGATTTACGCTTATTTATACCTCTTTATTCACTTATACCAGTAACCTTGAACAATATAAAAATGGATTGAAAAATATTTGAA